TTCTTCACAAAAATGGTCGTTTGAGCTGAGTGGCCTCCTAGACTGAGTGGTGCAGACAGTGATGTGTCGTCCCACCCCCACCCACCGCCCCCCATCACCCTGACTGATGAGCCCACCGACCCAGATCAGATGTCAGTCAACCTGCATTTACACACTGTCAGCCAGCGGAGGAGCCAAGCGCCACTCACTCCATCTTCTTCTTCCCTGTCCCCCTAGCCAGGAGCCCTGGGGGCGCAGTGGTTCCTTGCTGGGCAGCTCACCGCAAGGTCAGCAGTTCGAAACCACCAGCTCCTGGGAAGATGAGCCTTTCTACTCCCATAAAAAGTTACGGTCTCCGAAATCTACGAGGGCAGCTCTACCCTGCTCCCTGGCCCACTCCGGAGTCCACTCACTGGCATTGCGTTTGGTCAACACGGCGCACGCACATCCCCTTGAGGAAGGATCCAGCGCGCTGCTGCGCGTCATCAGCAGCCTGACCCTGCAGAGGCCTGGGTGGCCCTGGAGCCTTACCTGGATGTTTCCGTGCGGTGTTTGAGTGTTCTGTCCTTTGGACTGTCAGTGCAGAAGGAAGCAACGCTGTTTGGATGGATTAGGGCTGTGAAACCCCTGAAGTGAAGTGTTTTTTGTTTTGTTTCGAAATCATTTTATTGGGGGCCCATACACCTCTTTTCACAATCCATTCATCCATCCATTGTGTCAAGCACACTTGTACATATGTTGCCATCATCATTTTCAAAACATGTTCTTTCTACTTGAGCCCTTGGTATCAGCTTCTCATTTATCCCCTCCCTCCCCCACCCTCCTGGATAATTTATAAATTAATTTTTCATATCTTACACTGACTGATGTTTCCCTTCATCCACTTTTCTGTTATCCATCTTCCTGGGAGGGGGTGATCTGTAGATCATTGTAATGGGTTCCCCCCACCACCACCACCACTTTCCCCTTTCCCTCCTGGTATCAATACTCTTAATATTGTTCCTGACTCCCTGTGCTTCCAGCTCTTACCTGTACCCATGTACATGCTCTGTTCTAGCCAGATTTGTAAGGTAGAATTGGGGTCATGATAATGAGGGGGAGGAAGCATTAAAGAACTAGAAGAAAATTATATGTTTCAAAAGTGCTATACTGCACCCTGACTGGCTTGTCTCCTCCCGGTGACCCTTCTCTAAGGGATGTCCAGTTGCCTACAGATGGGCTTTGGGTCTCCACTCCGTGCTCCCCCGCATTCACATTGATATGATTTTTGTTCTGGGTCTTTGATGCCTGATACCTGGTTCCATCGACACCTCATGATCACACAGGCTGGTGTGCTTCTTCCATGTGGACTTTGTTGCTTCTCAGCTATCTGTCCTGGATTCCCTGTGTTTCCAGTTCTTACCTGTACCCATGTACATGCTCTGGTCTAGCCAGATTTGTAAGGTAGAATTGGGATCATGATGGGAGGGTGTGGGGGAGAAGGCATTAAAGAACTAGAGGAAAGTTGTGTGTTTCATTGGTGCTATACTGCACCCTGACTGGCTCATCTCCTCCCAGTGACCCTTCTGTACGGGAAGTCAAATTGCCTCATTCACAAGAAAAGCGTTTAATAAACCTAAATTTATGGAAGAGAGAGGCTGTCTTTGGCTCCCAATACAACGTGTGGGTGGACCTTGATGTCAAGGGTTGCTCACAAGGGTAGAGCAAGGTCAGATTTACTTCCGGAAGCAGTCTAGGGCAAGCAGGGGGACTGGAGGGGGCATTGTAGCAGAGGGGACACCCGGCATCCATATAGAGTGAGAAGGGAAGGCAGATATGGACAGCCGGCAGGGGTGGGTTGGCTGCCCGGCATGTTGGGTACCAGGACCGCCACTCGGTTGTCCACGCGAAGGCTGTTGGGGGAAAATGTGATAAAGCACATGCCGCGAAAGAAGTCTAACGCAAGGTTGGATTCTGTTTCCAGGAAAATGTGTCCCAAGCCCGTAAGTCCGTGGCTCCAGAAAGCCCATTAGTGGTCACTGAGGTCTGGTGTCCTAGTGGCGCAACAGGTAAGCACTTGGCTGCTGTCCACACCGCTGGGCCGGTAGTTGGGGGATCTACTCCCGGAAAGAGGGAGCTGCCTAGGAAACCCTGGGAGCCGGGATCCACTCCATGGTAACACGCAACCATCCGAGGGCTGGAGGCGTGGGTGGGAGGGGGCGGGGAGATGAGGAAGGGGCGTTCCTTTCTGGCTATGGGGCCGGGCTTCCTTTCTGGGTGATGAAAATGTTTTCAAACTAAATAGAGGCAGGGAATGTCTCAGCTGAGTGAATTTTATCTGGGGAGGGCAAACAGTGGACACACGCACACCCCCACCCCTCATTCCTCAGCCACCTCACATCCGCCTTCCTTGCCACTCAGGAGATCCCCGACCCTCTCTGTCGTGTGTCCCCTCATCATGGGTGCCTTACACCTCACCCTCAGAGGTCAGGGCCATGGTCTTAGCTCCTGGCTCTGCTGCATACAAATGCCACCGGAGGGCCTAGTTGCTCACAGTTGGAGAGTCTGGGAGTCCGAATGCAGGGGGCCTTCTCTGGAGCAAGGGCCTTGTCTAGTTCAGCTCCGGCACCCCGAGTCCTTGGTGACCTGGCTGCCTTCCGGTGTCCTGGAACCTCTTCCCCCCACCCCCATGTTGATGCTTCCTGTCTGCGTGATGGCCTCAGGGGTCACTCTCTGCCATCAAGTCAATACTGACTCATAGCAACCATGTGGAACAGGGTGGGGCTGTCCCTGAGTCTTCCAGATGGAAACTTGACTGGAGTAGAAAGCCCTGTCATTCTCCCGAGGAGCAGTTAGGGTTTTGAACCGCCGACCTTACGGTTAGCAGCCCAATGAGCAACCAGTAAGCCACCAGGAGTCCCAGGATGGTCCGGATGGCCAGCCCATTCCAAGGTGCCTCAGAAGAAAGGCCTGCCAACCTGCTCCCAAAAGCTCAGCCGTTGGACCACTCTGACACCCATGGGACCTCCTTGAATGGGGTGAACTCAGCAACTTGGCTTAGGCTTTGAGGGCTGGGGTGTCTGTGTCTGGGTGGGGGTGAGGGGACTCACCTTGAATGAGTACCCAGAGTCTTGGGGTCAGGGTGCTGAACCCTCAGGGCACAGTGCACCTGGACTGTCCTCTGCTCTTGGACGTCCTCCCACCCCAGACTGTTCAGCCAGGACCTGGTTGGCATTTCCTGGAAACGGCTTCCTGGAAGAGTGGTGGATAGAGAAGCAAGCCCTGCTTTCCAAGCAAACACCGCAGGAGTCAAACCTGCGTGGCTCTTCTGTCCAGGGACCGGCTGCCGTGGCGGCGTGGGTCCTCTGTCCAGGTACCGGCTGCTGAGTGCAGCTCCCAGGAAACAAAGCCAGGCCACAGCGTCTCCCCAACACCCAGGCGAGCCCCTTGCCCTACTACCTGTGGCAACTAAGGTCACCTGAAGCACTAGCCACAAGGATTCTGGCCCAAGCCCCTGTGGTAGTTATGAAGCCTGACACGGTGGTTCAAGCAGTCGGCTGCTCACCCAAAGGGCTGCGATTCAAAAGCACTAACCGTTCCTTCTAAGAAGTGGCAATCAGCACCCTTAAAGATTGTCTTGGGGCCTTACACACCCTTCAGGCTTGAACTTGAAACTGAATGTACCCTCGTGACTTAGCTTCCAGACAAACAATAGGCAGGCCTATGCGGGACACAATAGAGCCAGGAGGGCCCAATCCTTAAAACCACCAGCCCTGAGAGCATGGGGCAACACGGGCCCAGGGAGAAAAGTCAGAGAGCAGGAAAGGAGGAGAGGAATGGGGGCACAGGGAGGAAGAGAGAGGGGTGCTATGACACAGTGGGGACAGCAATCAATGCCACCAAACAACCATGGACAGACTGTTGACCGAAAAATCAACGCGCTCTGTAAACCACCACCCAAATCAGCCAACCCACAGCGTTGGCTCTGCCCTGCCCTGTGTTGCTGAGAGTGGAAATGAACTGGGGGGATGCATCTACAGTGGCTGTAATCCCATTGGGCACGGTTGTCTGTGCTTAGGTAATGAGGCAGGAGTAATGGAAGGTGGGCCTTGAGTCCGGCTCTTGGAAGGTTGGAGATCAAGAGAGAAGGGAAGGATAGATGCCAGGCCACTGGGAGGTCTATCTCCAAACCAAAGGCCACATCGAATCCATTCCAACTCATAGTGACACCACAGGACGAGGCAGAGCTGCTCCTGCGAGTTTCTGACACGGTCCTTCTTCGCAGGAGTAGACAGCCTCATCTTTCTCCCGCAGAGACTGGTGGTGCCGAACGGTTGACCTTAAGGTTAGCAGCCCAACACATAACCCACCTTGCCACTAGTACCCCTCCATATCCTGGCACAGTTCCCACTGCCTCTGCCTAGCCTGCTTGAGAACTCCATCCCCAGCATGATGCCCAGATCCCAATGGAAAAGGAGCCCAAAGCTGAGTTCGACCAGCTCCAATGAGGCCCCCAGTACCCCCGTGCCCCCATCCCCACCAGATTTTCTGACCACTGGGGAGGGAGGTGGGAGGCTGGCTCATAGTCCAAGGGGAACTGGGTTTGGTCCTGATGCTCTCCCAGAGCTTGGCTGCAGGGGAAAGCTGGAAGGATTCCTGGCCCACCAAAAGATGTCATGGAGGTCACGCATGGGGACCCCAAACGCCCCATTGGGAGATGAGGAAACCGGAGGTCACAGCTGGTTGGCGCTGAGGCTGGGATGCCCAGCTTCCATGTCACCGAGGAGGAATTCTGAGAGGGGAAGACCCAGGCTGAGCTTGGCCCTTCATCACAGGTCCTCCAGGAATACTGTCTACTACCTGGCCAATCTCACCTGAGCCTGAGGATGTGAAGGGCAGAGTGGCCGAGGGGCACTGGGCACTCCACCAGGGAAGAGCGGTGGCAGCGAAACCCTGGACGCCCAGGCCCTGACTGCCCTTACCTTACCTGCTACTCAGGTTCCCCAGCTGCCCAGACGGAAAGACAGAGGACCAGACAGACAGAGAGGGAGCCACCTTTAATCACCCTTCTCAGACAAGGCAGCAGGAGTGTCGCTGTGGGGCTGTCCCGCCCCACTAAGGGATCTGGGAGTGGCTGGAAGCCAACCCATCCTGAGCGAGTGTGGTCCCCAGTTGGCCCTTCCCACCCAGGGAAGCCTCTGGGGACCACCCCAAACTCCAGGGCCTGGCCATCGGGCAGCTAAGAATAGGGTGCTGGCTCCTCAGAAGAGGCCAGTCCCCTAGGCTGCCCCCCAGCCTCTGCCAGTGGGTCCTCCATCTCGGCTCGGTGCCTCCTCCTGGGGGAGTAGCAGCAGGTCAGTGCAGAGGGGGCTTGATGGAAGAGGAGGGCTCACAGGGAGATGCAGGCCAGGGTGGGGCGGGGCGGGTGAAAGCAGGTCGCCAGGGTGGGCCTCAGAGCAGGAACGCCTTGCTCTCTGACATCACCAGGGTCTCCTTCAGGTGCCGCCCGGGCCCGATGAGCTGGCACAAGGCCAGGAGGGCTGCAGCGACCAGGACTGCACTCAGCACGGCTGTGGGGGTTGGACAGACAGAGGAGTGTGTGGGAGGAGAGGAGCCCACTGCCCCAGAGAGCTCCAAACAGCCCCCAGCCTCCCCCAGCCATGCTCTGGACCGGCTACTGCAAGCCCCGAGGTGTGCAGTGTGTGGAGGTGGGGAGGGATGGTCTTCTCACCAGCCGCTGCGATGACCCCCAGGGCACTCTGGTTTTCAGACTGGCCATTGTCCTGGTCCTCAGCCTGGCCCTCATCCTCAGGGTTGCTAAAGTAGGTGACACCTTCCAGGATCACCGGGGACACCGTGGTAGAAGCGTGCCCTCCTTGGAGGATCTCGGTGGTCCCTGCAAGGGGGCAGAAGCATTCAGTAGCTGGGGCGGGGGACGCCCCGGTCATGGGGGTCCAGACTCCTGGGAGCCCAGGGGGGCTCACTCATACCCAGCCCGGGCGGAGTCTGGAAGTGACCGTGCAGTGGTTAAGTGCTCAGCTACCATCCAAAATGCTGGGGGTTAGAACCCACCCGTGGCTCCGCGGGAGAAAGAGGTGGCCGGTGGCTTCCATAAAGGTCTCCGGCCTTGGAAACTCCCCGGGGCAACTCTATTCAAGCTTCCCCAGTCAGGTCGCTGTGAGTCGCACTGGGTTGGGTTTTGAGCGTGCCTCGTGCTGGGACCAGGAGGCAGGTGCCAGCAGAGGCACGCGTCTGTGCCTCGTGACTCGCTCGGTGGCACGTGCCCTGTCTACCACCAGCCCAGCCCCACGCTCGGGTCCCGGGCACGCACCGCAGCCTCGCTCGTCGCTGGAGTCAGGGCAGTCCCGGTGGCCGTCGCAGCGCCACGTGCGTGGGATGCAGTCACCGCCCTGCGCGCAGCGCACCTCGCCCGCCGGGCAGGGCCGGGGACTGCAGTTGAGAGAGTTCTTACCCTGACCACCCGGGCAGCCAGTGGGTGGCGGGCACTGCCCATCTTGGGCACATGGCTCGATGCCTGGGGGCTCGATTCCTGGACAGTCAGGGGCACAACGTCAGGATCCCCGCGCAGAGGGTCAAGTCCTCCCATGGCCCTTCCCCCTGCAAGCCTGACCACCCAGGCCGGTTGACTCCCCATCCCTGAGCACCACCCCACAAGACGCCTCAGCCCTATCTAACTCCACTAGCTCGGCTCCCTGCCTAAGCCCCACCTCTCTTAAGCTAGACACCTACAAATCCCGCCCTATTTTCAAGCTCCACCCACCCCAGATCCCAGCCCAGCTTTCCCTGCCTATCAATGCCCAATCCCCTGAAAGCCACACCCCTTCCATGGGCAACTTGTCCAATGGGCCCCATCTTTCCCACAGGCTCCGCCCCACAGGCATGGCCCTGCCTCCTTTCCAGACCCACCCGAGACCTCTTCCAACTTCAGACTCAACCCCTCAAGCTCCGCCCCCTACAGGCCCCTCCTCGGGGGCGTGGCCACTCACTGCACTCGTCCTCATCGCTGCCATCCAAGCAGTCGCGATCACTGTCACAGCGCCAGGCGATGGGCAGGCAGACACCGCTGGTGCGGCACTGGAAGTTGTTGGGCGGGCACGAGACTGCACTGGGGTCTGCAGGACGAGCCAAGTGAGGCCTGGGGCTCCATTACCCGAGTCCAGGCCCTATGCCAGGTACATGGGGGTTGCAGGCTGCCACCACCCAGAGACTGGCCAAGGAGCTGGAGCGGAAGAAGCTAACTGGCGCTGCCACTTGCTGAGCATGCATGGGACTCACACCCCTCACCCAGGCTCCTCTAGGCAGTTCCTTCTACAGATAACTGAGGGCGGCCAGAGCTAGAAGCTGTCTCCCCTTGATTCCCCAGTCGTTACCAGGCTCCAAATGGCCAGCTTGCCTCCCTGGGAGGCTTTATCCAGAGACTGTAGTGCCAGGCCATTTTTGCGAGGCACCTCCCAGTGGGCTCAAACCACCAATTATTTTTGGATCGCAGCTGAGCACATTAACCATTTGCACAATTCTGAGTCTCCCGGCTCATAAGAACAGTCCTCAGACTGGTAACTTTAGTGCCCTGTGGGTTGGACACTCAGTGGAGGTCAAGATCATGTCCTCCTTGACCTCACACCCCACTCCCCCGCAAGCTGCGACTGCTAATAAGTGGACAAAGGTCACACGGAGTCCAGACTTACGTCTGGGAGGAATCAGAGCCATATTGGATTCTAAGAGGGAATGTTGGGTCTGGAGGGTTGGTACCTGTGCCAGCAAAAGGGAGGCAGGGGGTAACTGAAATCATTCTCTGGGGGAAGCAGAGCTGGTACCCCAGAGCAGACTGCAGAGTGAACCCCCAGCTCAGTCTCATTTCTTTACCTGGTCCTCCTGTCCGCCTACCCTTCCCCCCACACTCAGGCCAGGGCTGCAGGCCATGCGAAACAGGGCCCTAGGTTGGAGTCCGGAAGGGCTGGGGACAACATCCAGGAACCCAGTTTCCTTCCCTGCCCACTGGGGGTTCTGCCGGTCTGCGGACACAACTTACTCCCCAGGCCCAGCTACCTGCAGCCGGAAGAAGGCCCCACCCACCTGATGGGGAAGGCCCTCTGCAGAGTGGGGCAAACTGTCTCAGAGCAGTGGGCCAGGCAGGAGCTGTGGTGAACAGTGAATTGCCCTTCCAATCTCAGTTTCCTCATCTGAAAACAGGCTTACTAGGTGCCCCAACCCTTGCTGTGTCCTGGGGGTGGAGATGGCTTGTAGGTAGAGGTTTATGCTCTGCCTGCACCCCCAAATGACCCAAGACCATTTTAGCGGGAAAAGGCAGGGACTTGGGGTGGGGGTAGATGAGGCTGTCTGCTCCTATAAACATTTACAGCCTTGGAAAACCTAGGAAGCCGTTCTACTCTGCCCTATGGAGTATCTATGAGTCAGAATCAAGGGCATGCAGTGGGTGTTTTTGTTTGTTTGTTTGTTTGTTTGTTTTGGGGGAGGGAAGGATGGGAGATGCCCTTGAATTAGGTAGAAGTGTGATGACCTAGGCTCACACCGGGAAATCAGGGACACTTGTGGGCACAGGAGGCCTCTCACCCTCCCGAGGCCTCAAAGGGGAGCGTGGCTGAAGACCTCTGAGAAGGCCACTGACGTCACATGGGAGGGATCGAAATGTGTCCAGGAGGGATAATAACTTATGCTTTAATCCTCATAGGGAAGGAGGCAGCTTTCATTGTCTAAAGCCAGAGGGCGAAACGCAGTACGCAGCAGAGACTAGGGTGGGGGTGGGGGTGGGAGTGGGGTCGCTGAGGAAACGCAGC